ACGCGTGTTGGGCTCTGGTGTGACGATTGTCCGGCCATCTGGCCCTCCGGTACTGATATAGGATGAGGCATTGGCCTGTCCGTTCCCCAAGCGCCGACTTGCTTTGGCCAAATTGAGTCTCAGCACCAAATATGGATTGAGCAAATCGTTGCACTGGTTGATGGATTGGGGGCCCGTGAACCATGACTCAAGAAATTCTCGGCTCACACGATTGCCACCTCTTGCGAAAATTTCGGCCTCATCAAATTTTAATGTGCGGCCGGGTCTCGTCGAATGAGCCACAACTTGACGATTCGCATCAGTTCGCTGCACTGCTGCCGCATGTTCGGCAATTCACGTCTTGAGAAGCCTGCCAGTTTCTCCGACATAGTTCCTTTCCCACAACTGCACCAGATCCTGTAGACGACTCTAGATGTTTCTTGCCGTGGCAGTGGCTTTTTCGGTTTCATAAGGCGTCAGTTAATGAAACCGAGAAATCTTGGAATCAGCCTCCGGGAGATGATTGGCCAGACCGGATTGGTGTTGGCAGGCACTAGTGCACCCGTGGAATCGGTCGCAAGAAACGGAGTTGGATCACTACGGGTCCCCTTGCATTCAAAGCACGCAGCCGTCCTTTCTATTGAAATCCTGACTGCATCTTCAGATTTAACAAACTGACTTTTGAAATGGTTGCTTCCCTTTCAGTTATGATGGGTGATGAGGCATTTGGCGAAAATGATGTTAGCTATGGTAACTGCCAACTGTTAATTCGTGTCCTCCTTATTGTCTCCGTGCCGTCGCTTGTTTCTGTTGTTGTTGTTGTTGTTGTTGTTGTTGTTGCTTGCATCGTCCTAAATTTTACTTTTGACTTTATTTCACGTTACAAGAAGCCGCTTTTAAAATGAGGTAGGTTAAAGAAAAAGACCATTTTTAGAGATTTCTTTGGCCGATATAACCGTAACCGCAGTCGGCTGGCCCTAGAGTGACGAGAAAAGAATACAAGCAAAAAGCAAAGTTTTAGAGACGATGGGAAAGAAAAAAATAACACAGCAATATAAAAGATAGACAATAGCACAGAGAAGCTGGCGAGGAAGCAATAAAAGGCGAATAAGAGGTAGATGAAGAAGTGGAGGAGTGGCACGGGGAGTGGTGTATCTTCATTGTGAGCGTTTAACTGTTGTTGTTGATAATGATTATGATGATGGTCGTAGTGGTAGTGGTCTAGATGGGAGAGTGAGGTAGCTGCGGTGAGAGTCTACTCTAACTATAATTCAGCGCAAGTCACCGTCCCTGCATCACCCTGCTGTGGAGCAGACGGTGGATCTCCGCGAAACCGACGGTTGAACTGGCTGATGACGGCTAATAAGCCAGAAATGGCCATTCCAGTCTCCCTCGTCTTTGCCGGTAATATTATCGGCCTATTCTACTAACTGCTACAGCTGCTGTCAGGGCCCGATAAATGAGGCCCAAGGCGGAGCGGGGCAAGTGGGTTCCGTTAGCGGTCGGTGAACGTGCATCAATTGGTTGAACTAATTTCCCAGTATGGTTATGGTGGTGGAGCCGATGACGGTAGTGTGGCTAATAGTTGTAAAGATAGCCACGACAAGGCTGAGTCTTTTGGTGCTGAAAACTGAAGTGGCATTGTCGACGGCGACAGCGTAGAAAGAATTGCGGAAGAAATAGAATGAGGAAGGTGTGAAATATTAGAAGGAAGAAGGGTAAGGTAAAGGATTCTGAGCTGAATCTTAATCCAACGCTTCATAGGGACCAGGCGGGAGACTTCAGCGTGCTTGTGTGTGACAACAGGTAGAAATATTCGTTTTTGTCCGATCTGTGTGCATGTCACAGACAGCACGGTCCAGTTTTCTGCTTTTTCTTCGCTTCTTCTAGTCTGTTTTCTCATGTTGACGCTTCTTTCCTTCAGACTTCAAAGGGTGTCCGGTCGGGCGATTTGGCAGTCGCTGCCAATACTCCTGCTATGATTGCAAAAACAGTGGCGTATGCAGCGAAGATCGACGAAGTTGTGTCTGCGCCCCTGGCTTTACTGGAGAACTATGTGAACAGGAATGTCCTACTGTAAGTCTTCTATTGGGGAAAGTGAGGCGAACTACCTTGTGCAGTTGTTTTTTGTAATTTGAATAGACTGCCTCTCTCTCTGAGATTTATTTCCGACGTTTTACGTACAGCAGGCGTCATGGCACAGTAGAAGCGAAGCAAATGGCTGCTTGTTACCGCAAACTCGAATAAAACTGACACAGTTGAGCTGCACTGGCTGTGCGATTTGACCTTGTACGGTTGCTTACCGTACCCAAGTCAGAAGTCAGTACCAGCAAATACTATCACGCACCTGCACCCTAGTTATTAGTATTATAAATAGCAGTAGTAGTAGAAGCAGTACCAGTCGTGGCTTCCTAGAGTCTGGCTCTACACCTACTGAAGCTGAGTGAGGGTAGACAGTGCAGTAGTAGCCGCGCAAAGTCTACTGTCACTAAAGGCTAAATTAGGCGGTGTTTCAGGCTGCATTTTAGAAAGCGGTTTCCGCCCAAAGCCTGCTTCGGTCATCTCGACTTCGGTCTTGTCACCGGTTTAAGCGGTGGAGGGTTATAGTGAGGTAGACACTTGCGCGTCTATTTCACTCAATTCTCGTAGTTAGCTCCATTTACGCTCTCTGCTCTTGAGCAAATGGCAGGCTCCATCGAAATCGATGGTCATAAAACACACACACACCGTTCCCAAGAGCCCAACTCAACGGAAGGACGTGACACTACGTGGCCGAAGTTCAACAGCGGTTATGCTTTAGTAACTAAAGTTTGGTTGGATTAAGGGTGTTCTTCTTCCCGCTGGTCTACTTTCCTCAACGATATAAGATGACCTGCCCATGACCTGGTACTTACTCAATTTACTAAGTTTTCTGAAAAGGGGCATATACGATCCTGTCAGTGTGTGGGTGCTATAGGAGGCTGCTGAGTTTGAGTCTTCATCTTGGGAGGAGAAGGACGACCAGGTTATCTCTTAAAAGATTCAAGGCGCGTCAGATTTATTATGGTGAGGGCGTCGAAATCACTCTCTCGCTCCCGTTCATGCTCCAGTCCACTGTCCGAGGCGGTCAGTCGTCTGGCGATGGGATTAAGCAGGGTGGCTGGTGTGGTGTGAAGCCTGCGCCCAGGGCATGCCCCAATCTCGCTTGTTTTTCGTTCAACACATCTACAGAACTGAATCTGGAATTCAGTCGTTAGGTCCACGTTTTATGTATACCAGCGCTTCGCTTTACCCTTTTAAATAAGGCATATGACTGTCTCCGACTCCCGCAGTTTAAAGACTGCAGCCAATTATAAATCGACCAAACTCGCCTATATCAATTTGAATTTGCGGAGGTGGTAGTGTCGAAAAGAGAAGGATCTCCAAATCACGAGGCAGGCAAGGCAGTGTTGGTGGACAGAGCTTTACTGCCGGAAAATGAAAAGTACAAAGGCCGTGTTACGAGCCAGCTGCCAGCTGTTGCGTCTGCACGCCAGATGTGTCCGTGAAGTTTTGTCCGCTGCTGCAAAG